AACTGACTATCATCAGAGGAGTTTAAGATATCATTAGTGAAGGACAGTAGGGTGATACCTCTTGGTTGGGAAGGCAGGATATAAAGTAACAGAAAACGAGTGAAGGACATATGATGAACTCATATAAATGTTCAGGTACAGTAACTGGTTATTTCATGACCATATCGTCTGTTGTCTTTCATTTCATCTTACCGCCTGACTGGTAACTAGTAATAGGGACCAAAGGATAAATCGTCAAAGAAAATAGGTTAAGAACTTAGTGGTAACTTCTAAATATTCATGAATCTACAATGATAAAAGTACGTGTCTGCATATGAGTTTGTCTGTCTGTCTGTGTCTGTCTGTGTGTCTGTTCCAGCCACAGCTCCAATATGGAAGCAGTTAGAGACCTGAAGCTGTACACATATTATGTGGGTGGTCCGGCAAGAACCGAAAATCATTCCCGACTGCGTCAATATTATATATAGATAAAGTTAGATGAATGGACTGATAGATAAATGGATAGACAAATAGTCGTTCAATCTCAATTATCTCAAAAATAATATTTTAATTGCAATATTCAATTTCGTTAACTTAGGGTCATGGGATTACAATTTATAATTATCATAGACTAAAAAATTATCACCAGCTGTAATATGAAACTCAAAAGAAATTATTAAAAGCTTTCAGACGTAAATATTATACACAGAGACGAAACCCTGACCTGGGTGACCCGACACATGAGTAATTGGCAACTGAGTAGGAGCGCCGCCGACCCATAGATGGCGGTGGCGCCAGGAAGCGGGAGTCGAGTGATCTTTCTGTCTCCTCGAGAGATGCGTAACGTCGTGGAAACAAAAGCCGCAGGTGTTTTTCAAAGCCGGATTTATACCTCACGAACGATGGATTAAGGCGGATTCTTCTAAAATTAGTGTCATATTATGGGTAATTTTTCAGGATTGATGGTTTAATGGATTGAAAGAGTTGACATTTAGAATAGAAGGGATTTAGGTTGATATAGGAGACGCGTAACATGTAAATAAAGCCACAGGTGTTTTTCTAAAGGCGGATATACACCTCACGAACGATACATCAAGACGGATTCTTATGAAATACTAACGTTTTGTTGATAATGTTCCAAGATTGATGTTTTGTGGGGTAGATAAAGTTGAAGTGTTGGCTAGAAGGATTGAGTTTGACAATGGTGTGTGTGCCTCTACTGGCTTCGAACCTTGGATAATTTATATGGTAGGAGTGTCCGAACCACGCAGCCAGTGAGAAGTGAAAGGGGGTGGGGGGAAGAGAAAAAGAACGATAGATACAAAAGAATGAAATGGGTAGAGAGAGAAAGAGAGAGAGCTGTAGCCGTGGTGTGGTCGCGACGATATCTTTCACCTAACTCACTGACACATACCTGCCTACTAGCCCAACCTACACACCTGTCCACTAGCCAACCTACACACCTACGTACTAACCCATCTACACACCTGCTTACTAGCCCACTTGCACACCTGTTCCATAGCCCAACCTACACACCTGCCCACTAGCCAACCTACACACCTGTCCACTAGCCAACCTACACACCTGTCCACTAGCCAACCTACACACCTGTCCACTAGCCCAACCTACACACCTGTCCACTAGCCCAACCTACACACCTGTCCACTAGCCCAACCTACACACCTTCCACACTTCATTAGACAAACTAGTCAGGGGTATAACAATACACTGAGCCTTACGACGTCTCTGGCACACGACCCTTGAGGTAAGACGGTCAGGCGCGCACCCATGAGGTCAGTTAATTGTCGTATGCATGCGATAACGTCTTCTGCCTGGCGTTCACATACATGTTTATACTTCATGATGGGCGATGGTGGCTGGCGTTACGGCGTCTGTTTGTTTGTTTTGTCTGTTTGCTTGTGTTTGTTTTGTGATGATGGTTAAATAAGGTTAAGGTTATTCTATAAGTTAGATGAATAGAAAGATTTATTGTATGAGCATTTAAGAATTTTGACTCTCTCTCTCTCTCTCTCTCTGGTCATTAATTAAATATATTACCTGGCCATCAATAATTTAGTAATAAAGAAAATGGGAGATTTATTGACCGCGACTAATGTAAATGAGTTTTTATTATTCTTTATATTTATTTATTTATTTATTTATTTATTATTTTTGTAAGGTGATTGTGTGATTTTTAATGTATTGGATATTGGTTTAGTTATAATGATGGTAATGTTGATAATAATGGTGATACTACTACTACTACTACTACTACTACTACTACTACTACTACTACTACTACTACTACTACTACTTTTTTTAATGGCCTCCAGCCTCCCCCAATAGCCACAGCTTCGCCGCCATTTTATTACCTTAAAATTAAATATCCTAATACGCAAGTAAGCTATATCCTATATGTTGAATTGGTTGAACCGCAGATCTATGCGGCATTCAGTATTTTAGCCTCATAATTATGCTCTGCAACAGTTGTCGGCTTTGGGGCCGAAGCTCTCGTTCCCTGAGGGTAAAAGCCGGCCCTAGGAGAGAAAGGACAGTCGACATCTCATCGGGCTGTAACATAACTTCTGGGCTGCTGCTTCTGTTCGGAGATCACCTCCGCGAGTCTGGCGTAGAAGCATCTTGCACTTGGTCCCATCCCACCAGAGGTTGTGAACACTAGAGGAGTGAAGCTGCCTTGATCAACGTTCTGAATTCTCTCCCCGTATGCCCTCAGCTTGTCGTTCTCGTTCCTCCTGTGTGCAGCATCGAGAGCTAAGTTACGGTGACATGCAGCCATGGGATAAAATATTTTGATGTCGAAGAAGGCTCGCTGTCCCCGCGTCCAGAATCCTCGAGCACTGACGTCAACACGGGCTTCGTTGGATGTATTTGAAGTCCTGAGATGGAAATTCTCACCATCCAATGAAAGGAGGGTCGGTTATACCCTGACATCACGGCAGATTTCCTTCAACATATTTGCTGTGAGGTCCCTTACTTCGTCATACCTCATGCATACGAAGCCCCCTTTCTTGCACACCATGGCGGCGTGTTGACGATCCTCAGGATGAAACCACCCCCTCTCTCTCTCTCTCTCTCTTTCACACACTCCATCTCTCCGTTTGTCTCTCTCACCTCCTCTTTCCTCTCTCTCTCTCACACACACACACACACACACACACACTCTCTCTCTCTCTCTCTCTCTCTCTCAACCAGCACACTTTACGAGCCAAGATACCTCCCTAATGTCCACTCAATCTTCATAAGTACCAACATCACTTTACACTTTACACACTACCATATCTTACTGTTGTCACTTTGCTTTGGGTCACCGTTTTCTGTTGAATGTGTACGAGATATGTTTGATAAGGGTAACTAATTGAGTCTCTGTCAGGTAGTACCAACACTCATTAATTAAACTGAGGTGTGCGTGTGTGTTTGATATTTCTGTGGTACGAAGGAATGAAAATGATGATAATGATGATGATAGTAATAATAGAATAATAATACAAGCAATAATGATGATAATAATAGTAATTGTTATTATTATTATCATAGAAACTCATCCTAAACCAAAGTCCCGTTCTCTGTGATGCTAAGACTTTCGTTTAAGGGGAAACTCCTCAATACTTTTTTCTTACGTAATTTTGTCGGAGCTTCGTATGGGAACACTTTAAAGCCACCGTGACTACACCTGTCACCCCTGACGAGGTAATTGAGGTGTGCGTGACGTGGGTGTTAGTCCCACTCAGGTGTTCTGGAGGAGTAGAAGGAGGAGGAGGAAGAGAGGAAGAGAGGAAAGGAGAGTTAACAGAAGAAATTTGATGGCAGAGGGAGGATTATCAACACAACTCTATCACCACCACTAACACCGGTACCACTATTACTACCACCATTCACCACCACCAACAACACAGCTACCGCATTAACACCACCAACACCAGTCTTCTCTTCTCCCTCTCCCTCAACATCCTCTCTCTCTCCTTCCTTCCTTCTTCACACCTTTACACCAAAAAGTCAATTAATTCACAGGTAATGGACCACTCAATCTCCACCTTCAATACTCATAACATCGCTTCACACGCTGTCACAGTGAGGAGGAAAACTGAGGAGATATTCTGGCAGTCGAGGTGTAAGAGAGAAAGAGAGAGTTAATTTAGCATCATTACACAGTATGCTTCGAAAAGTTAAACGCGTAATAATAATAATAATAATAATAATAATAATAATAATAATAATAATAATAATAATAATACCCATTAACTGTATATTCCTCTAATACGGAAACTGTTATTTATATCAAGGTAAAGATAGTTAATGAATAATCAAATCAATCTCATATCTCAGGTAACTGTACACACCTCATCACATTACCTGAATCTCCTTCCTCCATCAAGAGCACCAATGAGAATACAGTATACTCATCTAAAAGAGTAGTCATTGGATCAGATCAAGGCTACTTCTCCTTGATTGGTTGATCCATAACTCACAAAGGATAAGAGCTGAGGTTTCCTTCCGTAGTTCGACGAGGTGCCGCTAGGGGGTTTGTTTATTGTTTACATGTTTAGTTAGCCAAATCAACGCTAAATGTATTTTTTTTATATCTATACTAGTTGAGTAAAATGCCGCCGGGTGGCTTTATGTTTTATTGGTTAGTTAGGCAAAAGGCCCCTAGTGCTTCATTATCTCTGCTTGTAGTTCATCAATTGCCCGCTAGATGTCGTATTATTTACACATGTATTTCCCGCCAAATGTCTCCATATTTACACATATTTTTCCCGCCAAATGTCTCCTTATTTACACATATTTTTCCCGCCAGCTGTCTCCTTATTTACACATATTTTTCCCGCCAGCTGTCTCCTTATTTACACATATATTTCCCGCCAAATGTCTCCTTATTTACACATATTTTTCCCGCCAGATGTTTCTTTATTTACATATATATCTCGCCAGATGTTCTCATTGTTTACACGTGTAGTTTGTCGAGACGCCACGAGAGGTCCCCACAAGTCAACACGGCGTACCTTTAATCTTTTGTGAAGGTGTCAGCTCATTATCAGCGTTGGGTGGCGTGTGTGTGGCTCTCTGCTGACAGGTAGAGAAGGTGTGGCTGTGGCAAACCTGAAATATGACCTTGGTATATTAAATTTGGAAACGAAGATACACACACACACACACACACACTATACTAAGTTCTATATCATTTTTGTTTTGTTTTAAGGATATATGATCGTATATAATGATTGATTCTTAAGGGATATATGTGAATAGGTGATTGTTTAAATATTTACATATATACACGGATATATCAGGTATGCTAATCAACAGGTGTTTTAGGTGTTCAAATGTTAATGATGTTTGGATGAATGTTGGACCTCCAGGTAAATATTTTTGTGTTTATTAATGAGTAAATTTTTTGATGTAAAATTATTATTATTATTATTTTTATTATTATTATTATTATTATTATTATTATTATTATTATTATTATTACTACTACTGCTACTACTTTTTTTTAAATGGCCTCCATCCTCCCCCAATAGCCATACCTTTGCTGCCATTTTATTACCTTAAATTTAAATATCTCAATACATAAGTAACTATCCTAGCTGTGTTGAGTTAGTTGAGCCGCAGATCTATGGGGCATTCAGTGACTGTTGCCTCATAGTCAATATCTGCAACTGTTGTCGGCTTTGGGGCCGAAGCTCTCGTTCCCCTGAGGCAGAGCAAAGCCGATCTAAGGAGAGAGAAGGACAGTCGACATCTCATCCAGACTGTAACATAACTTCTGGGCTGCTGCTTCTGTTCGGAGATCACCTCCGCGAGTCTGGCGTAGAAACATCTTGCACTTGGTCCCATCCCACCAGAGGTTGTGAACACTAGAGGAGTGAAGCTGCCTTGATCAACGTTCTGAATTCTCTCCCCGTATGCCCTTCTCTTGTCGTTCTCGTTCCTCCTGTGTGCAGCATCGAGAGCTAAGTTACGGTGACATGCGGCCATGGGTTCACAAATCTTGATGTCGAAGAAAGCTCGCTGTCCCTGCGTCCAGAATCCTCGAGCACTGACGTCCACACGGGCTTCGTTGGATATGTTTGAAGTCCTATATTGGTACTACTATTACTACTACTACTACTACTACAACTATTACGTGTATCATTACTAATATCACTATTATTTATATTACTACAGCCATACAAATAACGTTGCGTATTAAACTACATCAATAACATTAACAACTACAAAAGCATCACCAACAATAACAACAAAAACAACAACAATCAGTTTAGTTTCAACCACAGGAACAATAACATTTGCAAAAGTAACAAGAGCATTAACAAGTAAAATAACAACTACAACTACAAAAACCTTCACAGCAACAGCAGCAAAATACAACACAGCTTTGAGTTACAGCATCAGTATCGGAACAGCAGCAACATCAGGTGGGCCCTTGGGTGCAGCGGGCGTCAAGGAGTCGTGTGTTGAGGGGGGAGAAGGGAGGGGTCTGGTGGGGGTCAGGAGGGGAGTGGGTAGAGGAGGAGGTCGGGGGGTTGTGGGGTGGCTGGGAGGGGTCAGGTGGGGTCAGCTTGTTGGTTGGTGGGGAGGGGGAGGGGTTGTGGGGTGGTTGGGGAGGGATGGGGAGAGGATGGGGTGGAGGAGGGATTGGCCGAGAGCGTGCTTGGTGGGGGGGAGGGAGGGAGGGGAAATGGGGGAGGGGGGAGGAGGGGGAGGGTGTAGTTGACCTCTGTGTGTGATGCGGATGTTGGGTGTGGCTCGTCCCTCCCCTGCCACCACCTACACCTACACCTACCTACACCACCACAACCATCTGCAACACCTGCACAATTACCACCACAACCACCTGCAACACCTACACCTACACCACCATCTGTAATACCTACACCACCATGTACACACACCACCACCCCTTCATTTGCAACACCACCATCATTAACCATCATTAGCGCCATCTATTAACCAAGCGACGAAACATATATAAATGACATCACAATATCTCACCAGTTTTACTATATCATTAACCATCATTAGCGCCATCTATTAACCAAGCGACGAAACATATATAAATAACATCACAATATCTCACCAGTTTTACTATATTATTCACCATCATCAGCGCCATCTATTAACCAAGCGACAAAGCGTTAAAGACAGCACAATATCTCACCATTCACCATCATCAGCGCCATCTATTAACCAAGCGACAAAACATTAATGACATCACAATATCTCACCAGTTGCCTGTCTCACTATACATGACTTCTCTCCTATCAAAATAATGGGTCATTATTTGTCACTGCATTACATTCACGTACCTCTCACTTGCCCTCACTAAATGTCACTCATTAGTCGTCTGTTGAAGAGTTTATGAGGGAAATTAAATATACAAATGACCTTTTTCATAGATGTAAGTATAGTTGAAGGGATAAATGCTTAGACATTTTTTGTGGGTTAATATTTTGGCATCGTGTGTTTGTGTGTCATGAATATTTCCTTTATCTATCTATCTATCTATCTATCTATCTATCTGAGCCCTATAGCGTCACGTGAACATAAAATAAGGCGTTTTTATCCCTAATACTTTTTTTATAATGGAGTAACGTGATGTGAGATGACGTTTTTGTCTGTCTGTCTGTCTGTCTGTCTGTTTCACACTCTTCATCTGATACTGTTATTATTAAACGAGACTCATATACCGAACACATTTAACCAGAAGTTATTTATACGAAAAATATCACAAAACGCCATATTAAAACTCCCATGAAAACCAACACTCGTCATTAGCTAAGAGATCACGAGTATAAAATCTTTCCAAAATATGTGTTTACCTATTAATTATATATTTTTTTACATGAGAATATCTTAAATTATATTACACTCATGGAAAATATAAATAAACTATATAAATAATTTGGTCTTAGTGGATATTTGTGTTTGGGTCACTTTATATTACTGGTAGTACGTGTTGTGCTGTCAGCCGCTTGACTTAAGACGTCGGAAATAGGTTCCTGTTTTGACTCATAAATAACACGTTAAGTACACCTGTGTCGTGATATCCTGGTGTATCAGGATATTATTGAAGTGTTGAAGTGACTGTAGGTGAAGAGAGACGTATTGATAAATGATTTTAAGAACGATGTGAGACGATAAATTATTGAAGGTGGAGGAGGGACAATGTCAATAATGATTTCGGTGACTGGAAAAAATGATCAATAACTCGTGACTAACTCGTAACTCTAATTAATAATAGTGTACAATAGTGCATGAGAATATTATTAAAGTATTAAGTGATGTAAAGTAAGTGTATAATGTAGATAACAGATAAAATTTCGTGTTTAATGGCTTGAAAATAAAGTAATGGTGGTATTTGGCAAGCATACCTCACTCACTACTGCTACAAAATGAAATTATTTACCTACAAGAATAAACTTCGTAGAAATTGACGCCGTAGATGTCCTGTCAACAGCTCATCTCTCCTACAACAGTAAGTATAAGGATTAATTATAAAGTATGTTAAAAATCGTATGCTAATTAGGTAGTATGGTAATGACAGGTGAGGTCCAATGTTTACACACCTTTGAACAGCTGGTTTTGACTGCCTGTGTGTGGGTATTAACGCTCGTAGCAGCTCACACAAGAGTATACGAGTCGGTGTTTTAGTTCTGTCAGTCCAAGACGGTAATACAGAACAGTGTGATGGTGAGATAATCTGTCTGTCTGTCCAGCGCGTTAAACCAACTCCTAACCTAACCTAACCTAACCTAACCTAACCTAACCTAACCTAACTTAACCTGTCTGTACACTCATACGTACTTTACCTACATTGAAACCCCATGTACACACACACACACACACACACGAGAGAGAGAGAGAGATTCATGACAGCAATGCTCACTCAACGATTCGTGACTCCCGAATCTCCTTCCTTTACCAATCATCACCGACTGGCTAATCTCACTCCCCTTCGAGAATACCTGGACCATGTGACCCCCAGAACCGGCATGAGCGATTAGCTAATCATAGTCAAAGGCCTGATTGACATTATTATTAGTAGGTATCTGATGACACGTTTGGGGGGAGGGGAGGATTGGGGAGGGGGGGGGGAGGAAGGAGGGAAAGGAGATATTGGGGGGAGGGGGATTGGGGAGCGGGGGGAAGGGTGGGGAATAGGCAATGCAAGTTGCGTCAGATAGCCCTATGAATGTCTTACCTGGTTAACTCAGTGATTGGTGGTATATCTACCGAATGAGTTGCCAATTACCAACACACACAAACACACACAAATCCACTCACAAACACAGCCCCCCAAACACACACACACACACACACCCAAACACAAACAAGTAAAGTAATTTTGTTTATATATTCTCACCAAGACGGAGTATATACTGTTAATGGCTCACAGGTGTAAAAGGTGAGACAAAAACGACTAATTACCACAGTGACAGTGTGGGTTAATTTATGGTTCACACGCAATCCAGAAAATCTCTCCAGCGTGAATGGTAAATAGAGAAAATGTTAATGAATAGAGTGAGAGAGAGGAAATGGGAATATAGATGAGACAGGACATAGGAATAAATAAAATACCTTAGACAATGTAAATAAATTGATTGAGATAACGAACGATAGGTCCTGATTGGTTGATTAAGAGTAGTTCTCATGATAGATAATTGATTGTTTGGCCGCCATATTATGCTTAAATTAGATTATTATCGAGTGTTTAATAAGCATTAAGTTTATGTGAAATAATTTGTTATGGGGATAACTTCTGCCGCGTGTCCATAAATACCGCTGCCTGACGTATGAGCTTCACCTATATTTATGACTTTAGATTTATGATTATTTTATTTATTTATAATTTTGTATTTTAATTGATGATATAAATTTAAATCGAGTATCCTTGTGTTTATTGGAATTATAAATACGTGTACGATATGTTTTCCATTGGTTGGTTAGCAGATCAACCAACCAATCAGGAGCCGTCTTGCTGAGTGCGTACCTGTTGACTATATAGGACAACAAAGGGAACCAGATTATATTGGCGCGAGCCGCACTTCACTTGTTTGTTTTATCCTCTATGGCGGCCATCCCTCTCTCCGCC